TTCCCAACATTCTTTTCATCAGTCAAGTACATTGAATTTAACAATATACAAAGGGCCCTGGCCGGTTTGGCTCAGCGGTTAGAGCGTCGGCCTGTGGTCCGGAGAGACCCGGGTTCGGTTCCCGCTAAGGGCACGTACTTCGGTTGCAGTTTGTCCCCGGCCCTGGTTGGTCATGTGGGTGGCAGCCACTCGATGTGTCCCTTCACGTCGATGTTTTGCGCTCTCTCTCCCTCCCTCTCTATCTGTACAAAAAAATGGAAAAATATCCTCGGGTGAGGATAAAAAAAATAAAAATATAATGTAACAATATACAAAGGAGGTGACGTAACATGGTAAAACACCAAGCAATGTAATTCACAAATTAACAGACATCATGAACATCTCAATAGAAACAGGAACAATATTTGGCAGAAACCAACATCCATGCATCATACAAATCCTCAGCAAAGTATGACTAGAAAGGAATTTCCTCAACCCGATAAACACACCTGCCAGGAAGTCTACATTGAGCGACACACGGCATGGTGAATAACAGCCACTTCCCTGTGATTGGAAACAAAATACTTTGCATGTATTTATTTATTTTTAAACGATGTTTTATTGAATTTTTTTTAGAGAGATGGGAAAATCGATGTGAGCCCTGACTGGTTTGGCTCAGCGGTTGGAGCGTCGGCCTGCGGTCCAGAGAGACCCGGGTTCGGTTCCCGCAAAGGGCACGGACCTCGGTTGTTCCTGGCCCTGGTTGGGTCGTGCGAGAGGCAACCAGTTGATGCCTCTCTCTCACATCGATGTTTCTCTCTCTCTCTACCCCTCTCCCTCTCTTCCACTCCATCTAAAGATAAATGAAAAAAAATATCCTCCGGTGAGGATTAAAATAATAATAATAATAATAATAATAATAATAATAATGATAATGATAAAGAATGCAGCATACTAAGTGTTCAGGTAGGGTGTGATCAGGCCCCAAGGAAGCACAGGTGGGTCAGGTGAGGGTTTGCAGAGGAACTCGCATCTAATCTGAGACCCGAAGGGTGAGCAGACTTAGCCAGGCAAGCAGGAATGGAAAGCAGAGACCTTGCCAGGTAAACCAGTCTCATTAGGACGTTTTGGGAACTCAGATCCTTTATGGGCAACCAAAGAAACCGCCGCCTTGAACAGTAAATTGCTTTGCAATAGTTACATGTGAAACATTTCCCCACCTCTTCCTCATTTAAAAGTGAACGTGAGAGAGGAGGCGATGGCCAGCGAAACCCGCAGGTCTTGACTCAACTAACTGGAAGAGGCTGGGGAGCGGGGCGGGGGCGGCGCAGTGGTCTGACCACACAGACTCGGACTGGAAGTCCCAGGTTAAACTCCATTGCGGGTCTCAGAGGGCCGTTGGTGATGATGGAACATGACATGTGAATCGTCTGGCAAACATGACTGGTGTGGAGCCATGATCAGTGAAAGCAAGTGAAATTGTATGATGACTGCTCTCCACTCAGTAAGCGTTCACTGAACACTTGGTCTTTTGTTAGTGTTATTTGGGGGGTATATTGGATAGATACATGCATGGGGAGATGGATGGTTATTGAATAAGTAAGTAGATAGGGGAGTGGATTAATGCATTGATTAACTGATTAATGAAGGGAGGAATGGGTAAATGGATGTGAGAATGCAACATGATGAGTGGTCGGATGAGTAAGTGAATGAATGAGGGAGTGAACACATGCAGCCCTTTCTTTCCAGGTCCGGTTCCCTCCCTCCCTCCCTCCCTCCCTTCCTTCCTTCCTTCCCTCCTTCCTTCCTTCCCTCCTTCCTTCCCTCCCCCCTTCCTTCTTCCCTTCCTCCCTTCCTTCCTTCCTCCCTTCCTTCCTTCCTTCCCTCCCTTCCTTCCTTCCTTCCCCCCTTCCTCCCTTCCTCCCTCCTTCCTTCCTTCCTTCCTTCCTTCCCTCCTCCCTTCCCTCCCCCTTCCTTCTTCCCTTCCTCCCTTCCTCCTTCCTCCCTTCCTCCCTTCCTCCCTTCCTCCCTCCCTCCCTTCCTTCCTTCCTTCCTTCCGTCCTTCCTCTTTCTTCTTCCTTTCTCTCTCTCTTCTTATCTCTTCTCTTCTCTTCTCTTCTCTTCTCTTCTCTTCTCTTCTCTTCTCTTCTCTTCTCTTCTCTTCTTTCTTTCAGTTAATTCTCACCCAAGGATTTTTTGTTCATTGATTTTTTTGAGACAGTGGAAGGCAGGGAGGGAGGAGGACACAGAAACATCGATGTAAGAGAGACACATCAATTGTTTGCCTCCCTCATGGACCCTGACCTGGTGGGGGATCGAACCTGCAACCCACGTACATGCCCTTGATGGGAAATAGAACCCTCCACCCTTCGTGCTCAGGTGGTTGCTCTAACCACTGAGCAACACTGGCCAGGGCTGGTTCCCTCTTTGTAACCAGGGTTCCCTCCTCTCCCTTGAGCTCCCACACCCACATGTGCCAAGGGGGCTTGCCCTGATTATGCTCCTCCAAAGTCTCTCTGCACTAAGAACAAACCCAGAAAGTTCCACTTCAGGTCTCTCCCCTCATCTCTTCATCAGGTCAGGGCTCACAGGCGGCTAGTTTGACTTCAGAATTCAGTTCTGCTTAAGCTCCCACGTGAACACCCTGGTTTCACGCACCAGGAGAACTGGGTGTTGAAATAGCATCATCTTATACTGTTTGCTCGTATTATAAGTTTCCCAATCAGGGTACACGTCCTGGTCTAGGTCAGTTTCTGAAACAAAAGCAAACACCAGCAAAGGTCGCTCATCCTTCCGCCAGTCTGGCGCGGACACATGCCGGTGTGATGCATGGGGGTCATGGCATCAGAGAAGGCAGCATTGTTTTTGTTTTTGTTTTTTTGAGAGAGAGAGCAAGGAATGAACCTGCAACCCAGGTTCAGTGCTCGGGCGAAGCTCTAACCACCGAGCCACACAGAAAGCAGTATTTTAAATAAAATGGATATATGTCCATGCGCATCCTCTTAGAAGTAAGTATTGCTTAGTGGAACGTGGATTTTGGTTTGTAGATATAAGCGGACGTGTGTACAGGGTCACGACTAAACCTTGCTTCTTCCTCTGTGTCCTCTCCCAAAAAACGGGGGTGGGGGGAGTCAAAAAGTTCAAGCTCCTGATTTCAGAGTTAGCCATCTCTTTCCAGGTGTTGGGGACAGGTCATCTCATTTCACGCTCTCTACAACTGAACATGGGAGGTGTTTTATTTCCCGCTTCCCATTGAGAGCCCAGGACGGTCTGCAGATTGTCCAAGGCTACCCACCTTGGACAGCTAGGGCTGTCCAAAACCAACCAACCAACCAACAAGGAAGTTATCCTCCATAAAATAGGAAAGCAAGAACCAGAACGTCGGAAAGATTAGTAACAAGAAAAGATGAGTGTCCCACCCAAATCAGGCATGTCAAGAAAGGAACGCGGGAGGTTTGCAGGGTAAGAAGTGCTCAGAGACGGGAAGTGTGTGTATGTAAGTGAGAAAGGCCTCGCCCTGGCCGGTTTGGCTCAGCGGTTAGAGCGTCGGCCTGCGGTCCGGAGAGACCCGGGTTCGTTCCCGCTAAGGGCACGTACTTCGGTTGCAGTTTGTCCCCGGCCCTGGTTGGTCGTGCGGGTGGCAGCCACTCGATGTGTCCCTTTCACATCCATGTTTCCCTCTCTCTCTTCCTCTCTCTCCCTCCCACTCTGTCTGTACAAAAAATGGAAAAATGTCCTCGGATGAGGATTAAAAATAAATAAATAAATAAAAATAAAATCACACCCTCACCAAATTAGCCTGACCACACAGCAGGCTAATTTAAAAAAAAAAAAAAAAAAAAAAAGAGAAAGGCCTCCATGTTGGCCAGATGCAAACGGAACGGAAATGAATGGATTCAGAGGAAACCGAGCAGGTAGCCCGGCCTTGGAAGAAGAGAGGCAAGATGAGGGCAACCAGGCTGCGTTAGTTTGAGCACAACCATTGGCTGCAGCCAAGCACGCAGCTGGGAAGCCCATCAACCGGAATTGTGTCCAGATCAAGGCGCACGCGCCATTTGCTGTTGCCATGCCAACGGACCCCGCTTAATGGTAATGATGGTTCGAGCGAAGCAGCTGCGTGCCAATCAAGCCGCAATTAGGGAAGGTCTACCAGGTCTGTCTTGGCTTACCTTTGGGGAAGGTGTGAGGAGGAGTTTAAGGGGTTGCTTGGGGACCAGGATGTGATGCCATGAAAGAAATGACATTAATGAGTTGCTTAAAAGATGAGCTGGCCCTGGCCGGTTTGGCTCAGCGGTTAGAGCGTCGGCCCGCGGACCAGAGTCCCAGGTTCGGTTCCCGCTAAGAGCCCATACCTGGGTTGCAGTTTGTCCCCGGCCCCGGTTGGGGTTGTGTGGGTGGCAACTACTCGATGTGTCTCTCTCACATCAATGTTTCTCTCTCTTCCTCCTTTTCTCCCTCCCGCTCTATCTGAAGATAAATGCAAAAATGTCCTCTGGTGAGGATCAAAAGAAATGAAATAAAATTTAAAAAAAAGCCAAAAGAAAATATAAATAAATAAAAGATGAGGTGGAGCATTGGAAAACAAAACAAAACAAAACTAGAACTTGCTTCAGATCCTGAGACTTTTTTCTAAATCCTCACCAGAGGACATTTTTGCACTTATCTTGAGATAGAGCGGGAGGGAGAAAAGGAGGAAGAGAGACAAACATTGATGTGAGAGAGACACATCGAGTAGTTGCCACCCGCACAACCCCAACCGGGGCCGGGGACAAACTGCAACCCAGGTATGTGCCCTTAGCGGGAACCGAAACCGGGACTCTCTGGTCTGCAGGCTGACGCTCTAACGGCTGAACCAAACCAGCCAGGGCAGATCCTGAGACTTTGATAGAAATCTGTTATATAGTAGCTAACATTTATTGAGCAATTACTACCGGTCAATCACTGTTTAAAAATCCTAAGAGGTGAATATTTTTTCAAATATGTTTTTATTGATTTTTTTTTTTTTAACAGAGAAAGGGAGAGAGAGAGAAACATCCATGTGAGAGAGAAGCATCAATCGGCTGCCTCCTGCATGCCCCCTACTGGGGGTTGAGCCCAGAACCCTGCATGTGCCCTGGTGGAGAATCTAACTGGCGATTTCTTAGTGTATGGGACGACTTTCAACCACTGAGCCACACCTGCCAGGCCTAAGAGGTGAGTACTAATAATGTGCCCATTTTACAGCCAAGGCAAGCAAGGCTTAGAGAAGGTCACTGTCCTCATATCCACAGTGCCTGAGCAGTAGTCCTGGGATTCGATCCTTATCCACTGATGGTGCTTCCCCCAGATCTGAGAGGTCCCGAGAAATGCCCCAGAGGAAGATACAGCACATGGGACAAAGGTTATTATTACTCAGTTAGCTGAGCTCAGCCGGGAGCGAGGGCTGTGGGGCCCCCGGAAGGGCCAGGCCTACCCAGGGCATCCTGCTGCTGCTCTGGATCCCTGGGGTCTCTTCGCATCCTGCAGGTGGGCACTTCCAGTCCTCTGGGGCTCGAGGGCAGGCGCCAGCAGAGTCCCGGTGCCAGTTCGCCACTCCAAAATGCCCAGCACGGCCAGGAAAATGAGGACCAGGCCACCCAGCCCCAGGCGGATGAGGTTGCCTTTGGTGTAGTCCAAGGGGCCTGAGCCTGCAGAGCCAGAGCAGCCAGCAGAACCGGCGGTCGTCATTTCCACCAGAGGTCTCTGCACCCCGCCGCTAGCCTCCAGAGTGAACTGGGGACCCAGCTCCCTCCAAGTTGAGGGGGGTTGATGAGAGGGGCACAAAGGCGGGAGACCTGGACTCCTGGGTCTGAGGGAGGAGGGGCTGGGGGCCCGGACTCCTGGGTCTGAGGGAGGAGGGGCTGGGGGCCCGGACTCCTGGGTCTGAGGGAGGAGGGCTGGGGGCCTGGACTCCTGGGTCTGAGGGAGGAGGGCGCTGGGGGCCCGGACCTCTGGGTCTGAGGGAGGAGGGCTGGGTGCCCGGACTCCTGGGTCTGAGGGAGGAGGGGCTGGGTGCCCGGACTCCTGGGTCTGAGGGAGGAGGGGCTGGGGGCCCGGACTCCTGGGTCTGAGGGAGGAGGGGCTGGGGGCCCGGACTCCTGGTGTCTGAGGGAGGAGGGGCTGGGGGCCCGGACCTCTGGGTCTGAGGGATGAGGGCTGGTGCCCGGACTCCTGTCTGAGGGGAGAGGGGCTGGACTCCTGGTCTGAGGGAGGAGGGGCTGGGGGTCTGGACTCCTGGGTTTGAGGGAGGAGGGGCTGGGGGCCTGGACTCCTGGGTTTGAGGGAGGAGGGGCTGGGGGTCTGGACTCCTGGTCTGAGGGAGAAGGAGCAGGCTGGCGTTGGGGCCCCCTTACCATCGGAGCTGATGACCAGCGGCTCGCTGCTCTGCGACAGCACGTAGGGGACTGTGGGCGTGTGGTAGTAGCAGGTGTAGGTGCTCCCAGGGCGTGCGCCGGACAGCTGGAAGTCGGCCCAGGGCTGCTGGGACTCGTGGTATTGTAGCGGCGTCTCCTGGCCCGCGCGGTACAGCACGAAGCTCATGTTGCCCATGGGGCCCGCGCAGCGCAGGCTCACGTTGCTGCCGGGCGCCACCACCGGGCCGGGCAGCACCACCAGCGTCGGCCTGGGCAGCTGGTCTGTGAGGTGGGAGGACGGAGACCGGGGTGGGTGCCCTGGGCCTCTGTTCTCTGTCTCCCTGGGAGCCCCCGGTCCCCTGTGCTGCGCCTCCAGCTCTGTCTGTTTTTATCTCCCCGCCTCCTGTTGCACCCTCCCTGGTGCTCAGAGGCAGGGTCCCCTGATTTTCTGTCCCTGCGTTTGTAGTCTCTCCCAGAGATTTCCAACCTCGGACCTTGTGTGGGGTGGGGGGCTGCCCTGAGCATTGTGGGCTGCTTGGCAGCATCTCTGGGGGTGGGGGAGGGGGTCAGGGCAGTGGGCACAAATGCCTAGGGTTGAGAATCATCCGTTTCTTTTTTTTCCCTTTGGCGCTTCTTCTTTGTGTTATTGTACAGCCTGTCTCTGTATGTCTCTCTGTCTCTGTCCCTCCTCCCTTCTTCCTCATCCCACTCCTGTGTCCCTCCTTCTCCCGTGGCCCCGGGACCTCACCTGTCACCAGCAGTTCCAAGGCATCGCTGGGGGGGGACCAGACAACCCGCGGCAACCTGAGCCTCTGGTACTTGCAGTGATAACTTCCGCCCTGGGCCTCAGTCACCTCCTGCAGGGAGAACTCCGCCTGCTGCGTGTACCTGTCCTTGTATTCGGAGGAGAGCTCTCCAGACTTGAAGAGTGCAAACCTCCTGGCAGGCAGGGGCGCCCAGCACGTCAAAGTCACATTGACCCCAGGGGTCACAACTGCAGCAGGCTGAGCCCCCAGTGATGGCTTGAGGTATGATTTTGGGGAGTCTGAATCAATAGGTGACCTGAACTTGGGGTATGAGGTTGAGGGGAATGAATCCATGGGTGGCCTGAATGAGGGGTTTGGGGGTGAGGGTCCTGGAAAAATGGGTGGCTCAAATGGCCAGAACTCGGGGTATGAGTTTGGGGGGGCTGAATCAATGGGTGGTCTGGGCTTGAATGGCCTGATCTCAGGGTATGGGGCTGGGGGGAATGAATCCATGGGTGGCCTGAATGTGGGGTTTGGGGGTGAGGGTCCTGGAAAAATGGGTGGCTCAAATGGCCAGAACTCGGGGTATGAGTTTGGGGGGACTGAATCAAAGGGTGGTCTGGATTCGAATGACCAGAACCCAGGGTATGGGGCTGGGGGGAATGAATCCATGGGTGGCCTGAATGTGGGGTTTGGGGTTGGGGGGGCTGGAAAAATGGGTGGCTTCAATGGCCAGAACTTGCGATATGCATCAGGGGGAAATGGATCAGTGGATAGTCTGCGCTTGAATGACCTCATCTCAGGGTGTGGGGCTGTGGGGACTGAACCCATGAGTTGCTTGAACATATGTCCTAAGGGCTTGGGTTGCCTGATTGTGGGGTGAAAGGCTGGGGGTACTAAATACATGGGCAGCCTGGGTCCTTGGGCTTCCTGGGTGCCTAAGGACAGGAAGAGGAAGCTGGGGTGAGCACAGAGTCACCTGGAACAATCACTGGCCCTTTCTGAGCCTCAGTTCCCTCCCTGCGACATAGGAAGGCACGGATCCCCAGTGGGATGGGCAAAACTAGCTGCAGCCCTGGCCAGTTTGGCTCAGTGGGTAGAGCGTCGGCCCCTAGACCAATGAGTCGCAGGTTCGATTCCAGGCAAGGGCACGTACTTCGGTTGCGGTTGGTCCCCAGCCCCGGTTGGGTCATGTGAAAGGCAACCAGTTGATGTGTCTTCTCTCCCTTCGATGTTCCTCCCTCTCTTTCTCTCTCTCGCCCTTCCTCCCACTCTACCTGATGACAAATAGAAAAATATTCTCAGGTGAGGATTAAAAAATAAATATTAATAAAAAACCAGAAAACTAACTGCAAATCACAGGAGCAAGGCATCCATTCCCAAACTCTCCTCTGCAGTTTTTAAACATCATGTCGAGTGGTTGGGTCCCAGAAATCTGTGGTTTTAAAATTGCTCTCCAGAATATTGGTAACATATCCAAATCATGTACATAGTTGCCAAACTTGCTATCTACTTAGGGGGAGGGGGCATATTGGATCTCTACCTCATGCCCTTTCCCAAAACAAATTCCCAATTAATTAAAGACCTGCATGCATTTTTATTTATTTTATTTTATTTTATTTATCCTCACCCGAGGACATTCTTCCATTTTTTGTTCAGATAGAGTGGGAGGGAGAGAGAGGAAGAGAGAGAGAGAGAGAGAAACATCGATGTGAAAGGGACACATCAAGTGGCTGCCACCCTCATGACCAACCAGGGCCGGGGACAACTGCAACTGAGGCACGTGCCCTTAGCGGGAACTGAACCCGGGTCTCTCTGGACTGCAGGCTGACACTCTAACCACTGAGCCAAACTGGCCAGGGCTAGACTTGCGTGCATTTTTAAAAATCTTTTTTGGTACATGCCCCTAACGGGAACCGAACCCAAGACTCTCTGGTCCACAGGCTGACGCTCAACCGCTGAGCCAAACTGGCCAGGGCCCTGCGTGCATTTTTAACAATAAAAATATCAGAGGAAAATATATTTGTCTTGGGGTAGAGAAGTCTGTCTTAAAATATAAATTGAAAAATTCAGAAGGGACGAGGTCAGTAAATTTGACCTCTTCAACATTTTCAAGCTATATCTGAGAAAATACGAGTAAGTGACAACATCGGCCGAAACAATGTACTCATAAATCACATAGATTAAGAGTGTAGAAAGAGTTTTGACTTCCGGTCAAGACGGCAGCGTAGGTAAATGCGGTATCACGTCCCCCCACAACATCAAAGGTACAACTAAACTACAGAACAATCATCATTCAAAACCGCCTGAAATCAAGCTGAATGGAAGTCCTACAACTATGGAATTAAAGCAGCAGCCACATCGAGACTGGTAGGAGGGCGGAGGCGGACAGGCTGGTCCACACGCGCTGGTCACACACACACACACACACACACACACACGTGTGGCGGATAAAAATCAGGAGGACACCTCGGCTGGGAAGGTCCTCCCCGAGGACTGAGGGGTCCCCATCCCACACCAGGCATCCAGCTCAGGATTCTGGTGCCAGGAAGAGAAGTCCCCATAGTTTCTGGCTGGAAAAACCAGCAGGAACTGAGGCTCAGGGAGGCTGAGGTGGCTGGAGCCCCAGGCAGCTCGAGGGGCGCCAGAGACATACAGGGAAGAACTGAGCCGTTCAGCACTGCAGTGAGGGCTGGAGGGGGGCTTTCTCCGGGACAGACGTGCTGTCAGAGGCCTTTGTTCCTTTGGTGAGCCCTTCACGGGGGCGGCAGACAGCCGCCATATCTGGGACTCCTGGCTCACACTGTTTGCCCCACCCTGCTGACTCCCTGAGGCCCCGCCCCACACAACTTTCAGGCCCACCCAAGCTCTTGCCAGTTGCTTAACAATAGGATTGGCCTGTCTTGGATCCTGCTTCAGGTTTTTCCTAAATTCTTTCAAACAACCACTATCTGGTCTCAGCGAGCCCCATACCTCCCGTTAAGTAATACACAGAAACAAACACAGGGAGGCAGCCAAAATGAGGAGACAAAGAAACAGGTCCCAAACGAAAGAACAGAACAAAACTCCAGGAAAAGAACTAAGCAAAATGGAGATAAGCAACCTAACAGATGCTGAGTTCAAAATACTGCTTATAAGGATGCTCAATGAACTTAGCGAGAACCTCAGTGAACTTAGTGAGGGCCTCAAGAGCATAAAAAAGGACCAGTCAGAAATGAAGGATGCACAGTCAGAAATGAAGGAGGCACTAACTGAAATAAAGAATAATTTACAGGGATTCAATAGCAGAGTAGGTAAAGCCAAGAAGCAAACCATCAATTTGGAATATAAGGAAGCAAAAAACACCCAATCAGAACAGCAAAAAGAAAAAGGAATCCAAAAAAATGAGGATAGTGTAAGGAGCCTCTGGGACAACTTCAAGCATGCCAACATTCGCATTTTGGGGGTGCCAGAAGGATAGGGAGAACAAGAAGTCAAAAACCTATTTGAAACAATAATGGCAGAAAACTTTCCTAACTTAGTGAAGGAAACAGACATACAAGTCCAGGAAGCACAGAGAGTCCCAAACAAGATGAACCCCAAGAGGCACACACCAAGACACATCATCATCAAAATGCAAAAGGTTCAAGACAAAGAGAGATTCTTTTTTTTTAAATTTTTTTTATCCTCACCCAAGGATATTTTTCCATTTTTTTTTTTTTTGTACAGATAGAGTGGGAGGGAGAGAGAGGAAGGGAGAGAGAGTGAGAAACATCGACGTGAAGGGACACATCGAGTGGCTGCCACCCGCACGACCAACCAGGTCCGGAGACAAACTGCAACCGAAGTACGTGCCCTTAGCGGGAACCGAACCTGGGTCTCTCCGGACCACAGGCCGACGCTCTAACCGCTGAGCCAAACTGGCCAGGGCAAAGAGAGATTCTTAAAAGCAGCAAGAGAAAAGCATTTCATTACCTACAAGGGAGTTCCCATAAGACTGTCAGCTGATTTCTCAAAAGAAACTTTGCAGGCCAGAAGGCAGTGGCAAGAAATATTCAGAGTGATGAAAAGCAAGAACCTACAACCAAGATTACTCTATCCTGCAAAGCTGTCATTTAGACTTGATGGCCATATAGAGTTTCCCAGACAAGAAAAAGTTAAAGGAGTTCATCACCACCAAACTGTTATTATATGAAATGTTGAAGGGTCTTTTTGAAGAAAAAGATAAAATATATGAACAAACAAAATGGCAATGAATACATATCTATTGGCAATGGAATCTACAAGCAAAATAAGGAAGCAGAATAGAAATGGACTCATAGATACAGAGAACATTTTGTTGGTTGCCAGATGGGAGGGGGGGGTTGGGGGAATGGGTGAAAAAGGTGAAGGGATTAAGAACAACAAATTGGCCCTGGCCAGTTTGGCTCAGCGGTTAGAGAGTTGGCCTGCGGTCCAGAGAGACTCGGGTTCGGTTCCCGCTATGGGCACGTACCTCGGTTGCAGTTTGTCCCTGGCCCTGGTTGGTCGTGTGGGTGGCAGCCACTCGATGTGTCCCTTTCACGTCAATGTTTCTCTCTCTCTCTCTCCCTCCCACTCTATCTGAATAGAAAAATATCCTTGGGTGAGGATTTAAAAAAAAAAAAAAGAAGAAGGACAAATTGGTTGCTAGACTGACAAACTTCAAAGAGAAGGGGGTTGGGGGTTGGGAAGAAATAAACCAAAGAACTTATATGCATAACCAATGGACACAGACAACAGTGTAGGAAAAGGCGGGGGGTGGGAGTGGGAAGGAAGGGGTGAATGGGGGAAAAATGAGGAACATCTGTAATACATTCAACAATAAAGATAAAAAAATTAAAAATTAAAAAAGAAAAAATTGAGTGTAGAAAGAAATCCAAGGGCCAACCCAGATGAAAGCTGGGTAAGACATATGACTAGGTAATTCATAGAACAGGAAGTGCAATTGACCAAAACACACTTGGTGGTGGGGGGAAGCACTGTTCAACCTTAGTCATGATCATTAAAAAAAATTAAAACAGGCCCTGGCCCAGTAGCACAGTTGGTTAGAGCATCATCCCCATACACCAAGGTTGTGGGTTCAATCCCTGGTCAGGAAACATACAAGAATCAACCAATGGCCTGGCGGGCATGGCTCAATGGTTGAGCATTAACCCATGCACCAAGAGGTCGCCAGTTCAATTCCCAGTCAGGGCACATGCCCAGGCTGTGGGCCTGATCCCTGAAGGAGGGAGGGGGGTATGCAGGAGGCAACTAATTGATGTTCTCTCTCATCGATGTTTCCATCTCTCCAAAACCAATAAAGAAAAAAAAAATTTAGAAAAAAAAAAAGAATCAACCAATGAATGCATAAGTGGAACAACAAATCAATGCCTCTCTTCCCCTCCTCCCCTGCCTCTCTCCCTTCTCTCTCTCTATCTGGAAATCAATTAAAACATTTAAAAAACAATAAGGCATTTTTTTACTATCAGGTTGTCAAAATTAAAACAATGGTTAACATTCTGTTTCAGTGAAGATGTAGTGCACAGGCACTTAGGTGCATCTGAGTGTACCTTCTGAGAAGGCATTTTGTCAGTTTCTGTCAAGATACACAAAGGGCCCTGGCCAGTTTGGCTCAGTGATTGTAGCCTTGGCCTGCAGACCAGAGAGTCCCAGGTTCGGTTCCCACTAGGGGCACGTACCAAAAAACAAACAAACAAGCAAACAAGATACACAAAGGGCGTACCAATAATTCCACAGCTGCACCTAGGGGAATGAATATACATGTACACAAAAAGCTCATTCAGAAGCATTCCCTATAGCACTGGTGGTGAGGGGGTGGGTTGGAAACAACCTAAATATACAAGAGGCCAAATAAATTAGAATCCAGCCATACAATGGCAAATACTAGGACCTAGACAGCAGTTTATTTATTTATTTTTTTATCCTCACCCGAGGACATTTTTCGATATTTTGTTCAGATAGAGTGGGAGGGAGAGAGAAAGAGAGAGAAACATCGACGTGAAAGCGACACATCGAGTGGTTGCCACCCACATGACCCAACCAGGGCCGGGGACAAACTGCAACCAAGGTACGTGCCCTTAGAGGGAACCGAACCCGGGTCTCTCCGGACCGCAGGCCGACGCTCTAACCGCTGAGCCAAACCGGCCAGGGCTAGACAGCAGTTTAAAGGTAAAAAAAAAAGGTAGCCCTGACTGGTTTGGCTCAGTGCTTAGAGTGTCAGCCCGCAGACCAATGAGTCACAGATTAGATTCTGGTCAAGGTTCATCCTCAGCCCTGGTCAGGTTGTGGAGGAGGCAACCAATGTGTCTCTATAACGTTGATGTTTCTCTCTCTCTGTGTGTCTCCCTCCCACTCCATCTACGATAAATGGAAAAATGTCCTCGGGTGAGGATTAAAAACAGTAATAATAATAAAGGGGAAAAAAGGTAGAGCTAGCTAAATGATTTGGAAATAGCTCCAAGAAAGATTGTAAAGTGGTAAATGTAAGATGCAGAATGGTGTGAGTCACGAAATATCAACTTTGCCTTGGCAAGAAAACCAAGAAGTATATAACTACATATATGTGTTTGAATGCTTGGAAAATTTTTGTCAGGGTTCAGAGATTATTTAAGGAAGATGAGGAAGGAGAAGAGAGAGGCTGTTATATGTCCTTCAGTAATGACTGAATTTTTAAAACCATGAAGATATATTAGCTTTATCATTTAAACATAGTAATTTAAAATAAATTGATAGCTTACGTATTAATGGTTTTCCAGGTAGTTCTTATTTGAAGTTGGAGTGTAGTGGGCGGGGGGTGGGGATGGGAGGGAAGGTTTGAGAAAAAGAAGAGGTATCACTATCAGAAAATCTGGAAAGAGACCCAGGGCTATTTCACTGTGGGGGGACTCTACTTTCTAAATAAGGGAATAATGCCCTGGCTGGTTTGGCTCAGCGGTTAGAGCATCGGCCTACGGTCCAGAGAGACCCGGGTTCGGTTCCCACTAAGGGCATGTACCTCGGTTGCAGTTTGTCCCCGGCCCTGGTTGGGTTGTGCGGGTGGCAACCACTCGATGTGTCCCTTTCACATCGATGTTTCTCTCTCTCTCCCTCCCACTCTATCTAAACAAAAAATGGGAAAATGAGGGAATAATTAGCCCTGGCCAGTTTCACTCAGAGGTTAGAGCGTCGGCCCACGGACCAGAGAGTTCTGGGTTTGGTTCTCGCTAAAGGCACGTACTTTGGTTGCAGTTCGGCCCCGGCCCTGGCTGGTGTCGTGTGGGTGGCAACCAGTCGATGTGTCTCTCTCACATCAATGTTTCTCTCTCTCTCTCTTCCTCCCTCTCTCCCTCCCGCTCTATCTGAAGATAAATGCAAAAATGTCCTCGGGTGAGGATAATAAATGAATAAATAAATAAATAAATAAGGGAATAATTAGTGTTGCCAGAAATCCTATCTCTTGAGCCCTGTGCTATGCCAAATTCTGAGCCAAGGGTTTGGCACATGTAATTTTATTAAATCCTCACAATAGCCCATTTCACAGAGAAGGAAACTGAGTCTTAGCACGCAGTGGTTTGTTCCAGTTCATAAATGAACAAGGCCATGAAAGTGGGGTTCTAGCTTAGGTCTCTTTAGCTCCAAAATTTATGGTCTTCGCTAATCACCTTTACTGGTCACTAAAGGAAGTGAGAAGGAAAGAAAGAAAGGAGGAGGAGGGAGGGAAATAAGGAAATCTGGGGTGAGGGTGGGCACCCAGAGTAAAATCGGAATAATTGGAAATGGGATGTTACTCCCTGTCCCCAGGACATACAGGGGAATGGATGGGGGATGTACTCACCATCTGAAGTGACATCTGTGTGACACAGGGGCCCTGTGGAAGGTTGAGGGGACTTGCTAAAGCCTATGCTGCTCCCAGACCCATGACCATTGGTGACCAGGAATCTAAGTCCCCAGACCCTCTTTCCTCTAGAAAACAGGAATCTTGGCCACACTTCCTCCTTTCCCAGTAGCCATACATCCAGACTTCCAATCCCCACCTCCTTAAGAAGCCAGAAGTCTGCACCCAGGACCCTCTTGCCTCTGTACCCAAGAGTTCAGACCCTTGGACTCCACCTTTCGCAGAAGACAGTCATCTGAGCCCACAGTTTCTCCTTCCTGGGGTTCAGGAGTCTGGGCCTCAGCTCCCCACCCCTTCTCATGGACCCAAGTGTCCTGGCTTCTATCTCCCCACTCACATCAGAATCTGGGACTTTATACTCCCTGTCCCCTGGAGTTCAGGTCTCTAGCCCTCTCCTGCCTCAAAAGCCAGATGACTCTGCCCCCAACTTCCTCTTCTTCCAGGAACCCAAGGATTCGGGGGCTCCTGTGTCCTCCTGCTTTAGGACCCAGGGGTCTGGGCCCCAGTCCTGTCCCGTTATGCTGGTTTGAGTTCCAAACCCTTAGCTGACGCTGCCTGATCACCCTGCATCTGCCCTCAGGGAGACCTAGTGGTCCAGTCCCTTGCTTCTACCCCCCTCTCTAGGTGTCTGAGTCCCCAGATCCTGTCTCTCTGTACCCAAACCCAGCCAGGGACCAAGAGAGAGGGTATGGGGTAGCTCACAGAGGGTCAGCAGCTGGAGGATCAGCATCAGGGCCATGGTGGACAGGTCTGGCAGGAGTCGAAGCAGAAGCCAGGGCTCAACCAGGCCCTCTCACCACCCAGGAAGTGAGGCAACATCAGAAAGTCAGAGTCAGAGCCCTGGTGTAGGGAGGGGAGGGGAGTGGGGTGGGGGCCCCTGGGGGATGGTGTCCCAGCCCCATGGTGCTGCTGGAAAATTTGGGATCGGGGCAGTCATAACCCTCTGTGTTCATTAATTAAACTTTAAAAACAATCAGCACCCAAAGCAAGCAAACAAAAAACAGTTAGCACCTGTTATGTGCCAGACCCCGCTGCGCGATTTTGGGGCACAGAGAGGAGTCAGACCCCATTACTGATGGAAAGACGGATGCGGACCAGGTCAGTTTAAAAAGTAAGTGATGTGCTTCATAATGGAGGTCCCATAGGGCACTGTGAGAGTCCACAGAAGGCCCCTAACCTTTCGATGAGAGTTCGGGCTTCAGGACGAGCTGATTTTGAGCCGAGACCTCTATTCGTCCTCTCCCAGCTTCCGTCCCCCCATCTGTAAAATGGGCTTTCGGCAGTCAACTAGGAAATGAGGACTACTGCATTCCGCCTTCCGTGAGTCACAGCAGGAGGGCTGGGGAGAAGTCACTCCTCCGGCAGAGAAAAGGGGGCGGCGGCAGGCGTGCCAAGACAGGCTGGCACTTCAATCACGAGCGCCGCCTCCTGTTCTGCGGCTGCCCCGGACTTCTGTTCTGCGGCGGTGCGCACGCGCGGCATCCACAGCGACTCGGGTCCAGGGACCACAACTCCCAGAGTGCTCTGCGTTCTCGCCGCCGTCTTGGAGCGCGGCTCTGAGCCAGTGCGCACGCGCAGACTCCGACAGCGGCGCCTCGGGCGCGAGGACTACAATACCCAGGGTGCTCCGCGCCGCGGCCTCCGAGACCAAGATGGCCGGGAGTAAGTTCGGGTATCGCAGGCGCGCGGGACGTGGGGCGAGCCCGGCGGTGCGGGGCGGGGTCGCGGCGGTGCCCCCACGAAGGCGGTAGGGTCGGGGCCGGAGTGGGATGCAGAGGTCACCAGAGGGCTCCTCCGGGGCGAGGGTGGCGCGGGAGGGTTAGAGGTCACCGCGGGCATTGCCGGCAGCAGTGACCCTCCCCGCGCACCCCTCCAGGACTCGCCACCTTCCTCAGGAACGCCTGGGCCAAGGAGCCGGTGTTGGTCGCCTCCTTCACCATCGGGAGCCTCGGTGCGTGAGCGCGAACGTGCATCACCCCAGCCGGCAGGCCGGGCAGCCTTCCCTTCCCCACCCGCCCCAAAGGTCCCGTCGCCCCCACTGGCGTCCGGTCCTTCCCCGGAAGGCCCCCTGGCCGCCCTCTCCGTCCTGTGTCCCCACCAGTGTGTCAGCCCCCACGACGGCCCCTGGCCTGCCCCGTCCCTGACACTCTGACCCTCCTTCAACACCCGAGGTCCACAGTCCCTCTGGAGAGGTTCCCCACTCCGGCTGGCCCCCCTGGCTCAGTGGTTAGAACGTCGCCCCGCGCACCAAAGTGTCACGGGTTCGATTCCCGTCAAGGGCACGTACTTGGTTGCAGGTTGCATCCCCAGCCCTGGTTGGGTGCATGTGGGAGGCAACCAGTGATGTCTCACTCTCTCCCTTTCTCTCCTCTGCCCCTCCCTTTCACACCTTCTAAAAATCAATGGAAAAAAATACCCTGGGGTGAGCATTAGCAACAACAAAACTTAAGCAGTAAATAATAATAGTAATATTAATAACAACTGTTCTAAGTGCCTGGATCCTCCCCACTTGCACCATCATAATCCCCCAGTGACTCTAATGTGCAGCCTGAGACCCTCTGCTCTGGGACAGGGTGACTCATACTTGAAGGTGCACTGGGTCCCTTTCGAGGGAGCTGGTTAAAATGTAGGTGCAGATTCAGTAGGGTGAGGTGGGGCCTGGGACACTGCATTTCTAACAAGTCCCTAGGTCTTGTCAATACTGCATCTGCGGGCCATTGGGTAAGGTTTGGAGAAGACAGTTGTCCCATAGGCTACGTTAGTCACTGAGCGCTTGAGATGCTAAGTAAATTACACACTGGATTCAAAGACTTGACGTGGCAAAAGGAATAGCAAACGTCTTCATTATTTTTCATGGGGTGTGGAAACAATACTTTGGACATATGAGGTTAAATAGTACATTTTAAAATTAACTTGTATGTTTTAACTGTAATGTGTCTATTAGAAGCTGTAAAATCATGTGTGGCTTTTTCATTTCTGCCAGGCAGTGCTGGCCTAGAACCTTCTTTATATGCCCTGCCCCACCCCTCAGGACTCCTGGCTCCCACCCTTTATGGATTGTTCCTTGTAACCCCTTTCCATTTGCTCATGATAGCCCTGGAACATTCTCAGGACATTCCCCCAACCCTTATGCTCCACGACCACCTCTGCACTCCAGGTGCACTCATTCCATGACCACCCTCACTTCCCTCCCCTATGCCCTCTAGGTCCCACCTATCTGTAAGTACTTGGCTTCCAGCCCCACCCCATCCCCCCAAATTATAAACCTTTCTGATAAATGGGGATCCTGGGGTACCAAGGGGCCCTACAAAGCTCAGGGGCCTCCTGGAGGTGCTATACCTCCTCCCCTCCTCCCATGCACTGAGCCCCCATTTTGCCAAGGTTCAGCTCCTGCCTCTCCCACTCCCAAAACCATCTTCCCAGGGCCTCACCCTGTGTGTCTCCACAGCTGTAATTCTGCCCATCTTCAGCCCCTACACCAAGTATGCTGCCATGATCAACCAGGTCACACCCTACAACTACCCAGGTGAGTGGGGCTGTGTCAGTCTCTGGTCCCGAGTCCCTATGTCTGCGTATCTCCTTGACTGTCTCTGCAGCTCTAATTCTTTGACCCTTACTCTCCTGTCTTTTCTTTCCCCTGGGGTCCCAATTCCCTCTTTGAATGTAAGCTGACAGACCAGCCCTTCTCTAGGGCCCCTAGAGATCTGCTGGTCTTAGTGGCCCACCCCCCTGTCCCACAGTGCCCGTCCGAGATGATGGGAACATGCCCGACGTGCCCAGCCACCCCCAGGACCCCCAGGGCCGAAGCTTAGAGTGGCTGAAGAAACTGTGAACACCCCCACTGACAGGAAGAAGTCCCCTTCCCTGTGGCCCCCAATAAAAATGTGAAAACTGACTCCAGAGTCAAGAGTGTGTGTGATGAGAAGTGGGAACAGCAGACAGTGGCCCAGGAGAGCGGGGGGGTCAGTTTATTGGCAGGGTCAGTCAAAGGGGGGGCTGGCTAAGGTGGGGTAGGGCAGCAGTTTATCTGGCCCCCGGGAAACCCAACTTGAGTCCAGGGCCTCATCTGCTTCAAAGCCAAAGTCTTCCTCAACCTTTATCTGGGGAAGAAAAGAGCACTGTGTGAGCAGGCCTGGGGGCCGGAGAAGGCCCTTCGGCCCACCGTCCCTGCGCTCCCAGGCCAGACAGCCTCCTGCGTGCACCCCGGCAGGTCCAGTGTTCCTGAGTCCACGTGGTATGCAGATTCTCCAGCCCACCATCTCCCATCCCATCTCCTCCCCACAGCCTCCTCCCTGTCTTCCTCCTTTCTACCCAAGCCTTCCCGGCTTTTCCAACTCTCACTCCTGCCCCAACCCTCCAACCCTCCAACCCTGCCTCACGCCCTCTCTCCATCTCTCCCAGCCGCGCCCCTGCTGGAAGCCCGCAGTCCTGGTCCCTCCTTGCCTGGCCCTCGGGCTCCAGGCCTCCCACCTGCACCTGGGCCAGTTCTGGAGTCAATGGGACTCCTGCTCGGCGTCCTTCCCGGGGCGCTCGCCTCCTTTTCCGCCCGCTGGGCCCCTCACCGGGGGCCGGGCTGCTGGGTTCTGGGGGTGCTGGCGTTCTCCTGGGCGGGGACAGCCCCTCTTTCTCCGGAGGCTCGTTCTCAGCATTGCCTGGGGTGGGGGCATCTGTGCCCTGGCTGCCCTCATCCTGGTGGGGAGACGGCAGGCGGGTGAAGACTGTCCTGGGCTGCTGGCTCACCCAGCCCCTGGGGACCCCATGCTCACCTCCAGCACGATGGTGAACTGGCCGGCACGGTAGTCATCGCCATAAGCGTCGAGCACTCTCATGAGGAACCTGCGCAGGACAGAAGCCGCCAGCGGACACCTTCATCTTCTGGCGGCCGGGGAAGGGTGCCCGACAACCTGGCTCTGACTCCCTCTGAACCGAGGTGTCCTCGACCCAGAGGTTTGGGGCTCTGGGTCTGAAAGGCCTGGGTGCCAAGCACCTGAGCAGCCAGTGGGACTTTGGGCAAGAGAAGGTGACCTCTGTGCCTTAGTTTCCTGTTGTCAGCAGAAGATGACAACCCCAACTGGGGACCGCTGTGAATGACACCACACCAGACGTGATCTCTACAGCACTCGGGGTATTCGCTCAGCAAACATTCAAGTTTAAGTTATTTTCATTAGTAACTAAAAGGCCAGAGAGGTTTGTGCAGAATACTCCCGGTGACCTCGGCTCTTAACTCTGCCTTCTCTTTCTCCATTCCTGCTGCTAAAAGCTTTTGTTTGTTTGTTTTAGCTTTAATTAGCTAAATGCTACCTGTGAGCCAGCACATCATAATAGGTTGGAAAGTGCCCGGCCGAGCCCTGGCGGGCTTGGCTCAGCGGTTGGCGCGTCGGCCTGCAGACCAAGAGAGTTCTGGGGAGAGTTCTGGGTTGAGTTCCCACTAGGCGCACATACCAAAAAAAAGAAAAAGAAAGTGCCTGGCCAATGTGGCTCAGTGGCTGAGCGAGGACCCATGCACCAAGAGGTCGCTGGTTCGATTCCTGGGCAGGGCACATGCCCAGGTTGTGGGCCTGATCCCCAGTGGGAGGCATGCAGGAGGTGGCCAATCAATGTTTCTAACTCTCTCTCCCTCTCCCTTTCTCTCTGTAACATCATAAAAGAAAAAAAAAGTAGGAAAGTGGCCAGGGGAGGGGGGCCCAGGGACATGGAGGAGGGCATGGGGGCTAAATGGTGATATACGGAGAATTGGGGTGGTGAACACACAACTGTGCATCTGAGACGTGTGTAATTTCATTAACCAGTGCCACCCCAATAAACTGAATAAAAAGGAAAAGAAAAAGTAGGAAAGCCCTGGCCAGTCTGGCTCAGCGGTTAGAGCGTCGGCCTGCAGGCCAGAGAGTCCTGGGTTCGGTTTCCACTAAAGGCACGTACCTCAGCTGCAGTTTGTCCCCGCCCCGATTGGGGTCGTGTGGGTGGCAACCACTCGATGTCTCTCTCACATCGATGTTTCTCCCTCTCTCTCTTCCCCCCTTCTCTCCTGCTCTATCTGAAGATAAATGCAAAAATGTCCTCTGGTGAGGATAAAAAAAGAAAAAGTAGGAAGGAGGATGGATGACACCTGACTGGAACTGGAAAAGACGGTGGGAGGTCTCATGGGAAGGTGAGGGATTGGCAGGAGCAGCAAGTGCAGAGGCCCCGAGGCGTGTCTATATCTAGCGTGTTCTCGGTGGGGCAGGGAGGCTGGTGTGCTGGGCCAACTGATTAGGGCCTGGTTGGCTGTTGGAAGGATGTCAAGTCCTACTCTGAGTCAGGGGGGACCCCTGCAGCGTTTTGAGCAGAGGAGTGACTTGGCCAGTCTTACATTTTACCTTTTTTGCTTTTGAAAAAAATTTGGGCCCTGGCCGGTTTGGCTCAGCGGTTAGAGCGTCGGCCTGCGGTCCAGAGGGACCCGGGTTCGGTTCCCGCTAAGGGCACGTACTTCGGTTGCAGTTTGTCCCCGGCCCTGGTTGGTCGTGCGGGTGGCAGCCACTCGGTGTGTCCCTTCACGTCGATGTTTCTCTCTCTCTCTCCCTTCCTCTCTCTCCCTCCCACTCTATCTGTACAAAAAAAATGGAAAAGTATCCTCGGGTGAGGATAAAAAAAAAAAAAAAAAAAGAAAAAAAAAGAAAAAAATTTGGTTTTTAAATTTCGGTAAGATATAAAACTTCCCAATTTAACCACTTTTAAATGTATAGTGCAGTGGCATGAGGTGAGTCATGGTATCGTGCAACCATCACCACAGTCCCTCTCCAGAACTCTCACCATCTTTCCAAAGTGCAACTCTGTCCCTGTGAAACAGGACCTCCTGAGTGGGGACAGAGAGAGCAGCAGGGAGCATCAGATCCGGAGTGGGCCCAGGGAGAGACTGAGCCGAGCTCATACTGTGAGCTCCCTTTACCCCTCAGCAGACTCATGGCTTTGCTGTGACTTCTGTGTCAACCTTAGTTGTGAAGAGATCGGCTCTGAGAGGGGTTGTCACTTGCTCAGAGTTGCACAGCAATAGTGCTTGAAACCGACTCTGTGACTCTGAAGGCTGGGGCTCCTTCGCTGGCTGCACTCCCCACTCAGAGGGTGCACACCCGCTCCCCCCAGGCCTTGCCAGCTCTTTCCTGTAAGACAATCCCACCCCTGGTCCCTGCTGGCCTCCCCTCCCCCTGGCGGCCAGACTGGGAAGGTGGAGAAATGACCCTGGAAATAAGGTCTGAGTGCAGAGGCATGTGGGCCAGAGCAGGCGTGCAAGGGCTTACCTCCGCTCCTGCTGGAGTCTCCGCGTTATCCTCTGTACCTGATGGAGCCTGTTCAGGACCCGTTCGTTCACCTACAGGAGGTGGGAGAGCACAGGTCAGCCGGTCCCTGCTGTGGACCAGGCAGATGGCCCAAAGGTCACCTTGTAGACATAAGGGGCTGTACCTCCTGCGTCTGCTGTCACCTATTCACACGGTTCCTGCTCCTCTCCCTTATCCCCTCCCCTCTCTGGCTTCCATGCTGCTGCCCCAACCTTCCTGTCCTGGGGGCTTTGCGCGTACTCTTCCCCAGAATTAAGTGAGGTCATTACGGGGGACCCTAGTCCAATAACTGGTGTCCACATAAAAAGCGGGGAGTGGGACACAGACATGCGCATACAGGGAGAATGCTGCGGGAAGATGAAAGCAGAGGGCTACAAGCCCAGGACACCAAAGACCGGCCACAATCTAGCAGATTCTCCCTAACAGCTTCAGAGGCAATCTATCCCTGTTACATTTGCAGTGCTTGGTTACCAGCCCACGCAAAGGAACACAACCCAGAGTCTTTCTGACGTCCAGACCTGACTGCTGTCCCTCCCCTGCTTGAAACTTTTCATTAGCTCCCCCTCACTGAGGAAAAAAAAAGCCAAACTTCATGCTCCGACATTCGTGTGTTTCTCGCCCTGCCCACTGCTCCATTCTCATTCTCACCAGGGGGGCACGTGATTCAGTGGAGAGAACCTGAGTCTGGGGCAGCAGCCATGGGGATGAAGGGAAGGAGATTCAATGGTACAATGGACAGCAGTGAGGGGTGACTGATGCCAGAGGTATGGCAGACCTGAAGAGCTTGAGCTTGACCTGTGATCGGTGGGGAGCAGGAGAGGCACCTGCGAGGCATCAAGGAACTGATCTGGGCTGTCCGGGAAGCTCCCAGAGACAGCCCTCCAGGTACCTTGCACAGGGCCAGATACCTGACAGGTGCGGAATAAATGAAGGACGAATGAAAGATTCATCCTGCTGGGCAAGGAAGGCTGAGCACATGCACAGGCAGAGACTGGAAGGGGCTGGTAACTTGAGCCAAGGGACCTAAAACGGAATCCGCACTCACCTACCTGCTCGATCTCCCGGCAGCGCCGACCTAACGCCTGGTACTTCCTGCGATTGAGCTCTCGCTGGCGTCGCCGTCGGCCCCGGGCTGCCTCTTCCTCTTCCTCTCGCTCCCGGAGGCCCGAGCTGCCCAGACCCCCAGACACGAACTCCACTTCGGTCTCAAGCTCGCTCTCCAGGATGTGACCACCGAACAGCGGAGGCAGCGCCAGCTCCGAGCCCGGAGGCGCTGAGAACTCTTCAAAGCCCACGGCTGCCATGGTCCTGTAGAGTCAGAGGGACGCAGGGACCCTGAACCTCCGGCTCCTCCTCCTTCGACCCGGGAGTCCAGGCCCCCAGACCCTCCGTCCCAGGACCCACAAGAGTTAAGCCTCCTCCCAGAATGTGGGAGTTCAGACCCCAGACTCTTCCTCCCGAGGATCCAGGGAAGTTCAAGGCGCCAATCCCTCACTGAGACCCCAGGAGTCCAGGCCGCCAACCTCTGGACCCCGAGGATGCTCGAGTACAGATCCAGTCGCTAAGAGTTCTAACCCCAAACCGCTGCACAAACTACAATCCCCATCAGCCCTCAAAGTAAAGCGCGGATGGCCGCACATTCTGCAGCCGCAGTGTCTCTTAAGATTAGCCATATTCCCTAACGCCACTTACCCCTCTCTCTGCTCCAGCTCCATTTCTCCCCGGCTCGGGCGCCGCAGGACTCAGAACCTCCAACCTTGCAAACCTCTAGGTTGTCCTTCGCAAAACTACCCGCCCCATAAGGCCGCGCGGCCACGCTCCCGGGACTCGGCCGCTAAGCCTCCTGGGAGTTGTAGTTCTCTGTTCCCAGCTTTCCCCCTGGCCCCACCCCCACCCCGAGTCCGGCGGCAAGGCCTCGCTTTCTCGTCTCACGCCGCTACTAGTCGTCTGAGCGGCCCCCGTCTGTATTCTTGCCTCGACACCGTGTCCTCTGACCACGGGGCGCTTCTCCGCTTGCGAGGCTCAGTCCTCCGCGGCCTGTGAGCCTCGGGAGCCACCTCGCCCCGCGCCTGCTCACCCCTTCTCCGCCCAGCAGCTGGTGCTAATAAAGTTGTTGTTTCAAACGCGGTCCGGAAGGCTGAGGGGAAGGGGCGGGGACCAACCAGAGCGTAGCTTTGCGTCGGCCGCAGCGGCGCGCGGGCGAGGCGTCATCAGTAAGCGCCGACGGGTGTCGGACGCTGCTCTCCTAGAAACGGTGGTGCGAGGAAGGCGGTGGTGAGTGTGACGGGCCGAGGGGCGGGCGGGAGGCCGGGTTCCTCGGCGCGGGGCGCGGACGTGAGCGAGGACGAAGGCGGTGTTTCCTAGATTGTGCTCCCGCGGCTGTAGGACTCGGGGCTACGGCAGGAGCCAGAATGTCCCCCGCCTCCTTAGAACGCTTTGCTGGGGCAGACGGGTGATGAAATGAATGACTTAACCCCGTGTGTGAAGCGCCCTCGGGTGCCTGCAGGGCGTGCGGGCTGTGTCGCCCAGAGTGCGGTGCGTGGGTCAGGGAGCTGGAAGGGAGGCTGAGGAGGAGCTGAGCCCGTTAGAAGTGAGGGGAGCCCTGGCCGGCGTGGCCCAGCGGTGAGCGCGTCGGCCTGCGCCCCGAAGGGCCGGGGCTTCGATTCCCGACCAAGGGCACGTACCTGGGTGGCAGGTTCCATCCTGGCCCCCGTCGGTGTCGTGTCGGTGTCGAATCGATGGTTCTCTCTCCCTCCTTCCCTTCCACTCTCTCAAAAAAAAAAAAAAACCAATGGAAAAAATATTCTCAGGTGAGAATTCACCAAAATGAAAAAGAAAAAGCGAGGGGAAGAAGTGGGTAAGCCAAGGAAATGTGAGGAGGACTCGTGGGTGGCAGAGGTTGGCCCGAGTCAAGAGGCGTTGTACCTACTCTGTGCCAGGTGCTAGTGAGCGATGAATAAAACGGCCCCGTTCTCAAGGAAGGAGAGAGGGGAGCACGCGAGGGGAGACTGTTCTAGAGACAGCTGGATAGCCAGGGGTCCCAAACCTGCAGCTCCAGGGCCACATCTGTCCCGTTTTCTCCTGTTCGGTGTGGCCTTTGCCATGATGGTGTTTGTTTTGTGTGTGTTTTTTTTTATTATATATATATAAATATACATTTAAACAATAAACTTTTCTTTCTTTTTTTTTTTTTTATCCTCACCCGAGGACATTTTTCCATTTTTTGTACAGAGTGGGAGGGAGAGAGAGGAAGAGAGAGAGTGAGAAACATCAATGTGAAAGGGACACATCGAGTGGCTGCCACCCGCACGACCAACCAGGGCCGGGGACAAACTGCAACCGAGGTACATGCCCTTAGCGGGAACCGAACCCGGGTCTCTCCGGACCGCAGGCGGGCGCTCTAACCGCTGAGCCAAACCAGCCAGGGCTAAACAATAAACTTTTCTAACTGGGAGATTCCACATAAAAATTCTGAAGTTCTCTTGAAGGAAGTAGAAAACCCAGCAGCATGGAGCCCATGTTCCCACTGGCAGGGCGTGCCCGAAGCGGGGCATCAGCTGTACCTGTACATCGGCATGAATTCTCTGGTTCTCCAGGCTCTGCTCCTCCCCGTTGCCCAACTCCCAGGCTGCCCCCCTTGCTAGTCACCCATGTAGCCTCTGAGCATTGGAGTTTGCAGTCTTTGTTTTCATATGTTAGAGGAGAGTGGTGCAGAAGGGGAGGGAATGAGGAAGGGGAATGGATTTATGGGGTGAGCAAAGGAATGGGAAGAGGGAAAGATTGCTTATTTTAAAAAAACCAAAAACGCACCCAGGCCCTGCCCGGTTTGGCTCAATGGTTAGAGCGTTGGCCTGAAGATCAAAGGGTCGAAGGTTCAATTCCCAGTCAAGGGCACCAGTACCTCAGTTGCAGGGTTTTTTTTTTAATCCTCACCCGAGGATATTTTTTCCATTTTTTGTACAGATAGAGTGGGAGGGAGAGAGAGGAAGGGAGAGAGAGTGAGAAACATCGACGTGAAGGGACACATCGAGTGGCTGCCACCCGCACGACCAACCAGGGCCGGGGACAAACTGCAACCGAAGTATGTGCCCTTAGCGGGAACCGAACCCGGGTCTCTCCGGACCGCAGGCTGACGCTCTAACTGCTGAGCCAAACTGGCCAGGGCTTTTGTTTTGTTTTTTTAAATTAAAAAATTTTTTTTATCCTCACCCGAGGGCAATTTTACATTTATCTTCAGATAGAGCGGGAGGGAGAGAGGAAGGAAGAGAGAGAGAGAAACATCGATTTGAGAGAGACACATCCAGTGGTTGCCACCCGCACAACCCCAAGCGGGGCCAGGGACACACTGCAACCGAGGTACGTGCCCTTAGCGGGAACCGAGCCTGGGACTCTCTGGTCCTGGTCCACAGGCCGATGCTCTAACTGCTGAGCCAAACAGGCGGGGGCTCAGTTGCAGGTTTGATCCCAGCCCCAGTGGGGGTCGTTTGGGAGGCAACCAATCGAAGTGTCTCTCACATCCATGTTTCTTTCTCTCTCCTTTTTTCTTTTCCACTCTATCTAAAAGTCAATGGGAAAATATCCTCAGGTGAGGATTATTAAATAAGTAGCTATGGTTAATATTTTAAAAAACAAAAACAAAAACAAAATGCTCCCTGGCTGGTTTTGCTCAGCAGTTAGAGTGTTAGCCTGAGAACCAAAGAGTCACGGGTTCGATTCTGGTCAAGGGCATGTACCTCAGTTGTGGGTCAGTCCCTGGCCCTGGTCAGGGTCATGTGGGAGGCAATCAGTCAATATATCTTTCTCACGTTGATGTTTCTCTCTGTCTCTCCCTCCCATTTTCCCTCCCACTCTATCTAAAGATACATGGGGAAAATATCCTTGAGTGAGGATTAAAAAACAACAACAACAACAAAACACAGTGGTGAAGATCATACCTTGTAGAGTAAGTTGTGTTTACCAACCCTTTCCTCTTCATGGGACTTGAAGAAAATACTAATATTAATACAGCACCTGGTGTGGTTGAGGAGTCTGCCTGTGGCCAGAGGTGATCAGCCTGGGGACTCTAGACATCTGAGGCCTGTCTGGTTGCCCTGATGGCCGAGCAGATCAGTATTTTAGGAAACCTGTCACTCATTTGGGGTCCAAAAATGGAGGGGAGGGCTCTGTTACAGAAAAAAAAAATGAGAGGTTGCATGTCATCATGGGGAGGATGTATCTTTTTTTAAAAACATTTTTTTATTGATTGATTTTAGAGAGAGGGGAAGGAAGAGGGAGAGAGAACATTGATTGGCCGCCTCCTGCATGCCCCCCACTGGGGAATTGGCCCACTACCTGGGCATGTGCCCGGATCGGGAATTGAACTGGCGAGCTCTCGGTGTATGGGTTGATGATCAACCGCTGAGCCGCACCAGCCAGGCAGGAGGTGTATCTTTTAAGCCTCAGCGAGGTGGTGTGCGAGGTGTGCTGTGTGTTGTCGGTAAAGTGGCAGTGAAAGGGTGGGTGGTGTGAGTTGTGGCTGGAGATTATCTGGGTTTTGGGAGGTTTGTTCATGGATTAATTCAATAGGTATTTATTGAGCACCTATATGCCAGGCACATTAGGATCTGGAGAACAATGCAAATAAAATGCCTGTTGTTGTGGAGCCTGCGTGCTAATGGGGTTGATGAGGAGGGACCAGGGCCTTTGGTGCAGGGGGCTCCCGATAATGAAGGGGAACCCTGCTCTCCCCCCCAAATAGGCCTCGGGATGTCTCTGGCAGACGAGCTCCTGGCCGACCTCGAGGAGGCGGCAGAAGAGGAGGAAGGGGGAAGCTATGGGGAGGAAGAAGAGGAGCCGGCAATCGAGGATGTGCAGGAGGAGACACAGCTGGATCTCTCTGGGGATTCGGTCAAGAGCATCGCCAAGCTGTGGGACAGCAAGATGGTGAGCGGGCTGCAAGTGGAAGCCCTGGAGGCGTGAGGTGGGCCTGGCTCCTCTCCACGCGTGCTGGGTTCTCACTCCCCTCTCCTCCCCAGTTTGCTGAGATCATGATGAAGATTGAGGAGTATATCAGCAAGCAGGCCAAAGCTTCGGAAGGTACCTTCTCCCTGTGCCCCCCCCCCCCAACCTCACCCACCCTCCTGGCCTCCTGCCAGGCCCCTGGTCCTCTTTTGCTGCTTGTGGCTTTGAAAGCTGGGTCCGACTCCCTGTCGGCTTTTCCAGAGCCCTCTTCTTCTGCTCCATCCCAACCCAGTCCCCTTCTCTCCTTAACTTCTTGCTCCGCGCTGAGCGCCCGCCAGTCGCCTAGGACTTCTGTCGAGGTTTTTAAGTGGGTCACGTGACCACTTCCTGGGGTTTTGCCGCTTGTCTTGTTTACTTCACATCTTTCTTTGTTGGGGATTTTTTAGCACCCAATTTTATTTTTCATTTTTCGATTACACTTGCCATGCAGTGTTATGTTAGTGTGAGGTGCACAGTATGCAGGCTAGACATTTACGTGACTTACGCGGTGACGGCCCTGATGAGTCCAGTACCCACCTGGCACCACGCACCATGCTATCATGTCATTGACTGTATTTCTCGTGCCGTCCTTGACAGCCCCGTGACTGTCCCGTAAGTGCCCGTTTGTACGTAATCTCTTCACCTTTCTCACTCAGCCCCTCCACCCCCATTCCACGTTTTCTTTAAATCAACGTCTTTTTTTTTCATTAAATTTACCTCAGAAGTAAAGTTGTGCTACTGTGAGTAGAAGACTGGTGTCATTTGGTAAATAGGAAGTAACCGTAAACGTGTGATCGCTAAAGTTTCGCCCAAAACTTCCTTCTTGCTCCCAGCTCTGAGGGTTATCTCTTGACTGTCCAGACCAGCTCTCAGAGGGTGTTCCTGTTCCACCC